GGGGTGCAGGCTGGGGGGGGGTCAAGATGAGGTGTGTGGAGTGTAGGAGGGGGGCTCTGGGTTTGAAGAGGTTCAGGGCTGGGGCAGGAGGTTGGTGCTGAGGGCTGGGGTATGGGCTTTCCTCTGTGGTGCAGCAGGGGGGCTAAGGCAAGTTTCCTTCCTGTCCTGGCACCTTGAACAGCACTGCGCCCCTGAAGTGGCTGGCACTAGAGCTGGTTCCTAGGCAGAGGTGCACAAGTGGCTCTGCCTGCTGCTTTTGCCCACAGGCACCGGTCCCCAGAGCTGATGCCCAGGGTGGGGGCAGGGCAAGTCAGTCCAGCCCCATCCAAGAGTGGGACCAGCTGCTGGCCCCTTCTGGGCACAGTGGGGTCTGCAGTGCCAGGACAGGAAGGTAGCCTGCTGCAGCTCCCTCTGCTGTCACCTTGGACCCAGTGCCTGACATTCCATGACCCATAGGCTATGCCCCCCTGGATTTGGGGATAGATTCGCTAAGCAAAGATATTGCATGCTGTCCCCATGTGCCAGTATTTGGTGGCATTGCAAAATCCTCTTCTTTTCCTTGAGGAGCGGGAGGTGGAGTGGGACTTAACTGAAGGGTTGGGGGATTTCACTAGGAAATCGTGTCTGGTGTAGGAAGAAGTTGGAGAAAGTTAAGCATGGGATTTGTGTCTTTAGATAAGGCATTGCGGGGCTGACATTTTGCTTCTGGCTCTTTGGGCCTGTTGAATTGCTGTCTTTCGGGTTTATGCTGGATCCATCTCAACCAAGAAGTGACTAGAAACGTGCTGAGTGATGTGGAAAAGCTCCTCCAGGTGCAATGCCTCCAAGGACAGGCAGGAAAGGAGTTGGACTTTTCTATTGACTGCAGGAGATATCGCCTGAGACACTCTGCTGCCCTAGATGGCTCATTGGTTTATTCCAATATGTCAAAGTCAACATGGTCTCCTATTAATATGCAGTCAGATGTCACGGACTTCCCTGGATGGCAGTGGAAAGAGGAAACATAAGAGGCACAATTGGTTTGGATGCTGGTTAAGCATCTTATGTTTCCTCCTTGCACTGAGAAGAGTTTCTTTATCCCTTTTACAATGGTTTGGATGCTTAACCAGCATCCAACCAGATAAAGGAACCTCTTTTTATTTGGAAGTAGGGCTGGTTGAGTAGCATTAATCCATTTGCCTAATTTAGCTCTTTTCCCGATTCACAATCATTTTGCTGTCACAGGGACAATTTTTAGGTTAGCATCTTTGAGTGGGGAAGCATTACCTAGTGGTGAAAGTCTAGGATTGGTGAGTCAGGCATCTGTTCCTGACTCTGCCTTGTTTGTTGTGTCACTTTGTGCATGCTTTGTGGCTCTATTAGCCAGCTCCCCATGTATAGTGGTAATAATGGGATGCTGTCAGACTTAATTCACGGATGTTTGCACAGTGCTTTGGAAGGTGACAGAGAAGCGCAAGGAATTATTATTAGAACGCTCCTTGCACAATATTATTGGAATGAAAACTCCTCCCTGCAGAACAGCATGGAAAGAGTATCAATTAGACAGCTGCACAGGGAAAGTGAGGGGAACGAGGAACAGCCTTATGGACCAGCAACCGACAGACGCTGCATAACAGAGCAAATCACTGATTATTCCATTCCTTTCACTCAAGGCACAGCAAGAAACCACTGGAAACAGCTCACGACAGTATGGGGGGAAAATTCACCCATCAATCAGAGCATAAAAATAAAAAGCTGAAACAATGGGCTAATGAGGTGTTTCCCTTCTTGAGTTTGAATGACAGAGTACAAAATATAATTCTGGATGCCCAAAATAGTTGGCTTTTTTAATGATCTTCCCGAGGCTTGATCATCAAAACCAACAACCTGCCTTGAAAGGGTGAAAGAAAGAGAGAAATTGAGACACACACACACGCACACATGCACACACGCACACACACACAAATATTAGACAAAGTGCTATTGTCTCTGGAGAATTAAGTAGCACTTGACGGAGAAGAGACAGATTATACATAAATACTATTCATATAAGACATGGTTGATGAGACACGAGTGCCATTATTGTCACGTTCTAAGTCATGAACAATGGTTGGGCAGGCCAGGAGCTGTGACTCCTCCTTGTAAGATACTTTACTTCTCTGTGACCGCAGCCTTTCTTACCATTTGCCTACCGTAGCTGGCCAACCTGTTACATTTTGTCACAACATGATTTTGGGGCAGAGATGATCCTTTTGCTGCATGACTGTACAGTGTCTAGTACAACAGGGCCTTGATCCTTAATTGAGGACCCTTACACACTCCCACAATACAACTGGTACTGCCAATTCATCTATGGTACTGTATATGGCCACTACAGCTATTTTATCCCTGTACCTCATGATTTTTCATGTCTTTTCTTTACAACACTTCCATGAGATTGTAAAGTTCTGAACCAGGAGCAGAACCACTAGACCATCCTTCTTCTCTCTAGCAGGTAAGATCATGCCAGTTTGACCAGAATTGGGTAAACATTTTTAACCAACCTTTTTTTTTTCCTGGAGGAAAATGAAGATCTGGGTTTGTAACAGGGTGTTGCTGACTGTCATTCAATTCTTACCAATATAGGTCAACTGGGACTTGACTGAAAGATCAATTAACTGAGAGCTGAGAGGTAATCTGAGGTGGAAGCAACCTCAGCAGCTGGGAGCAAGTAAATTGCCAGGAGGAATCCTGAGGCTACCAATTGTTACCTTTCTGTACCAAGCAAGTGGAGTTGCTGGCTGGAGGAATGTAACTACGTATACATTTCACCAGAGGCAGTGACTAAAACGTGGCCGTGGTAAAACAGACCCATTGTGATGTGCCGTGTGATTATGATCTGTCCAGGGTACCACCCTGGGACAGGCCACACTAAACATTTCACCGAGTCATGCAGCATCCACCAAATTGTTTCCATTTGAGAATACACAAGAAAAAATTCCACACACACACACACACAAAATCAAAATGTTTAATGAAACATTTTGATTCGACGATTCGGAACAAGTTTTTGTTTTGGAAATTCCCTTCAACTTAATTTTAAAGAAATAAACATTCATAAAAAGCTCAACATTGAAAAGAAACATTTCATTTTGAGTCAAACAAAATAATTCCTCTCCCCCTCACCCCCGCAACGTTTTTTTAAAGTGTGTTTCGTGGCACAAGGCAGTCGGAGGTATGCCATGGAGAGAACAGAATTCAAAATGGCCACCCTTAAAGAGACAAGCCTCCTTTTTTTTTGTATTTTTTGTTGTCGTTTGCTTGTTTTTTGCTCAACAACTTTTCTCTGGGAGCTTTTGGGGAATGGCCGCCCTTAAAGAGGCAAGCCTCCTTTTCTTTTTTCCCCATACAAAAAAATTGTTTGGTGTTCTTCGGTCTTAAAAAGTTTAAGAAACACTGCTCCCCCTTACTTTTCAGAATTGCCCGCCAAAACAAATTGAACCTCCCACCCCAGCTCTGATTTTGACCGAATGTGGCAAATATTTCACTAGGAGGGTGGTGAAGCACTGGGATGGGTTACCCAGGGAGGTGGTTGAATCTCCACCCCTAGAGGTTTTTAAGTCTCAACTTGACAAAGCCCGAGCTGGGTGGATTTAGTTGAGATTGGTGGGTGGGGGGGCTGGACTTGGTGGCTTCCTGAGGTCTCTTTCAGCTCTATGATTCTATGATGATTCTATGATTCTAAATGGGATGAAAAACACGTATGCATTTTGAAGATCGTCTGCTTTCCTTCCTGTGGTCTCAAAACTCAGCCCTGAATCATTGCCTAAATGGGATCCAGCTCTGAGCACTGTCTTAGTCACAATGCTTCGACAATCCTGCCCTGTGTTGGACTAAGCTGAAATCTATACGGCTGAGGAGTTTGTGTGTCTCTGTGTGTGAATTATTTCCCTTGAGGCCTGAAGCTTAGGATGTGAAAGTCAAAACTGGGCTGGTATTAAATTTTTGTGTGGTGCAATGGTCAAGAAGCAAAGCCCCCGTTACAGGAGTAGTAAGTTGAGGATCAGTAACATGGAGTCAGCAGGCCCCTGCAATCTAGTGAGCAAGACTTTGGTTCAGTAA